GCTTTGCCTACATCTCCCGGGCAGGCAGCTCGTGGCAGCAGGAGGAGGAAAGCAAACACCCATCCTGCTGCCTGCAGAGGAAAGAAAGGAAAGGCAGGCTGTGACAGGGCTGCGGGCAGAGCAGAAGCAGGGACTGACAAAAGCCAAAGGCCAAGCACAGGTGTGGATAAAAGGAGCCAAGACTGAAATCTCCCCGAGGAGGACTTTGGCTTTTGTCACGTTGCTACGCTGACATTGTGGCGTGCTGGGTTTCAGGCCTTGGCTACCAGGCAAGCCCAGCCTGTAAAGTCTCACGGGACTTCGTGTTCAGCATTAGCTCAGAGCGGGCTGCAAAATCAGTCAGGTGGAGGGGCTGCAGGACTGTAAACAAAGGATTACGGCATGTGGCAAGGGGCTGTTTAGAGGGAAGGGACCAAGGGTATCACGGGGATGGGGATCAGTAAGACCTTAGACTGAGCGCCTCATTAAAGTTTTAAACTAGTACTTAAACTGTCCAGCTGACAGAGGAAGGGTGTGCGGGAGAGGCTCTGGTGTGTCTGGGAGGGGTGCAGGAGCTGCCTCCAGGCAGGGGAGGGACACGCTCACCCCCCTGCCCCTCGGGAAGGCACTCGGTGCCTGTGCTCCATCTGCAGCTAGAAAGAGAAGGACACTGTTCCTGGGAGATACCAGCAGCCTGTAGCCTAGAAACTGTGTCAGAGGGCTCCTTACTCTCCTCTCCCCAAGGCTGTCACCTTCCCCCTATCCCCAGGGCTCAGGAAGGAGCAGGAGTATTCTGGTGCAAAACCAGGAGGAGTCTAAACAGCAGTGAGTAGGCTGAGAGCTGGAGTAGCTACACAATAGCTACGTCAGGGTCCTCCCAACAACGGTGTAAACACAGCCTGAGAAAGAGAGAGTAGAAACTGCAGACTAGATGGAGACAGGATTTAACATGGAAAACAGAAGCTACTTAGCAAGGAGGAAATAATTCACCAACTAACGCTCCCCATAGCAGAGGGGGAAACAGTCCTGGAAAGTCAAACTGTGTTGCGCAAACCTTAGGAGACCTAGCAAATTAGAGAAGGGGACATGAGACGTTAGAGAGGAGGAAGGCAATGCGCCAGCACCAGGACTGTGCACACAGCTACCCTGTGCCAGGCAGCACGGAGGTAAGTGCTGGGCAGGAGCCCACTGCTCAGTTCAGGCAGCAGCTACTGGGAGAGCCTGACACGCTGGGAGGAGGTCAGAAGAAAGGCGACAGCTCATTGTGCAACTACAGGGGATTGATTTGCAATGACAGTATGTTTTCCTTGGCTCTGGGGGGATACGGAAACAGTTTGCAAACATTTGTAAGGCACAGACCCAAGCAGGAGGGAGGGCAAATTACTTACTAGAGAAGATAAAACAGAGAGAGGAAAAACAGAAGCTGAAAGTAACTAATATTTTACCAATGAGCTCCAGCAGCTTGTGAAATAGCTCTCATGAGGAGAGCAGAGAAAAACCCAGGTATGGGCAGTTTTAAATTTGGATGGGAAGAAAGTAATTAATACATGTGCAGTGAAAAGCATACAGAAAAATTTGTTGAAGCGATACAAATATTTCCACCCCCACAATCAGCAGTCCCAATTTTCCACTGCCCTGCATCTCTTGCTATCATTAACAGCAATGCAAAGAAGGACATCGTTTATTAAACCAGGAGCGTAACCTTATAGCACTGCTCCACCTAAGCGCGTAGATTTCTAGACATTTCTAGCCAACAGAGGATTAGGGTTTACAATTGTGTGTTGGAAAATGACTCACTAGCAGTGATCCTCTTCAGCTCCTCCAGAGATCTCCTCCTGCCCCATCCCAAATCTCCTTTAGTCTCGATGAGGTAGGGATATGACTCCATGTTTGGACAGTGTGTGTTAATGTCTCCTAAAGTCATATCCAGCTGCTTCTAAAATCTCCCGGTAAGTCCCCTACCAGTTGCATTTGGGAGACCGCTTATGGGACTGCTAAAGATCCACAAGGAAACCTGAAAGATCAAGGCCCAAATACAGCCCCACTGCAGGCTGAAACAGCAACCTGCCAAGAGCCCCGAGAAGCCCACACCTTACCTGGCATATACACTTACCAGCTTGATATTTTCCACAAGGAGGGAACACAGCCATGGCTTGACACCTACGTTGCTGCAGCTAGTATTAATGTTTAGCCCCATCGGCCAGTGAGCTGGGCTCTTCAGACAGTGCAGAGCTGTTCCCTGGCCTGAGGAATTTTCACATAACTAATTACCAAGTTTTATAACCGCCCCCAGCAGACTATGATGACGATGAATGAATGAGATCAGATTAGTCAATATGGTTTATTGGCGGAGTTTGCCCACTCGCTGTGGATGCATCATTACTGTGTGCATTCATCAGCACAGGGATAAGCACAATTCGAAGTCTCTGCCTGTACAATTTGAAACCACAACCAACTTGCAGCTCTTCAGCTTTCTCCCAAGGACTCCCTAGGCCTTTCTGGGGTCCCTCTGTTGCTCTGTATCCTTGTCCTGGGCCATCCTGGAAGTCCTTTGCTGAGTGCCATGTCCTTCCTTATTAAAGCAGATTAAGCTGTGCCTGTAGAGGTTAAACAAGAAATTGCTGAAAAGCACTGAAGTTGTAACACAGTGGCTAATGGTACACTTGCTGCTACTGTCCTCTGCCTGACAAGATCAGAGTTGCTCCGCTGTGTGGCACAGATGCTCTGCAGCTCCACATCCAGCAACAGTCCCCTTTTTGCTGAACAGTATTTCTAGGGCAGGGCATTCCTCAACCACACTGGGGCTGTTGAGCCCAGGATCCCTGTAGAAAAAGGGGAATCTATCAAAGTCACTGCAACCAGCATGTTCAAAGTGGGTACCTGCAAAGGTGTTCTGTGTTGCCTACAACATCGCTCTAGTTCCCCCCTTGTCAGTCCTGACACACCCCTGCAGCAAGCAATAGCTTGCATTAGCACTAAAGGGAATAAGGTTTCATGGCTGGAAACTGCTTTGCACTGAAATTTGAGAGCTGTGCCTTTCCTTTCCATCTCTGGCACGAATTCCCTAGGCGGCCCGAGGCAGGCACCTTCATCTCCCTGCGGTTCAGTTTGCCATCTGTAAAACTGGGTTAGCATCCCCTCCTCCCTCTTACACCCCTTTTATCCTTGCGTATATTAACGGTAAATACGGACGGGCTGGTTTGCGTGCAGGCACAGTGCAAAACAGGGGGCACGACCCTGGAAGCGTGGGGAAGGTTTGCAGGGAAGGATGCGTGCGCGGAGGGACAGGTGCACGGAGGGATGCGTGCACGGAGGGCAGGTGCACGAAGGAGGCCGGGATGCAGGGATGCGCAGGCAGGGATGGAGGATGCCCGCAGGGAAGGGCACACCCGGCGGGCCGGCCGTTTGCCCACCGCCCGAGCCGCCCCC